AATCGTAAAACACGGTTAGTAAAAACAATCCAATACGAATCGCCAAGTCTACACTCTACTTGGGCTAGTTCGCTGCCGGTTCATTTCTATGTATTGTTTTTTTTTGTCTTTGAGAGAGCCGCCAACTTCAACTGTGCACAATATCGTTTGACTATACCAAATTGGTGTAATGGTAAAACCAAAGTACTGAATGTATTTACACCTACTGCTGCTGACAATAAATCTATGAGAAATAGTGAATTTTTCAATTTCACGGCTATATATGCATATCAGATGTATATCAGAATGTATCCTGGGAGATTCACACTCAAAAATTGATATCAAATAATAAGAATACTGATCCCCTAATGGCTTTCAATTATGAATGTATGCATTCATCACTTATGTATTATATAATTTGTAATAGTCTTTGGACAGAGTTGGTCTTCGTTAGAAAGTTACAAATCATTAGGAATATATTTGATTTGCGATCACAGATTCAAGTTGTTCATTTTTTACGATTCATCACAAGTTATATATTTATATTCTGAGCAGTGTATGCTTCATTCACAATAATTTACCGCAATAAACTATAATTATATATTCTTGAACATCAGCAGTCAAACTGATGAAACTGCCATGTAGTGAAACACGTCTTGAATAAAATTTATAGTGAAAAAACACTATAATTATTATCATGTATAGTGTTATTAATAATCATCAAGTAACGAGTTACTGTATTCATAATTATATATTCCTTCATTTTGCTTACTCAAATAAAAAAAGGCTCAGTTATAACCTCACTTAAATTATATAATCACCTACCCGACTCCTTCAAAAATTACTGATATGCAAAAGCTGATACTTTCTTCCAAAATAATTTGAGAATCAGATCAATACTTGTAATGCACTGTTTGGAACCTGTGATGTAGTAATGGATGTCACTGGAGTTTTTTCCCAACACCAAACCTTTATTTCAACACCTCGACACATGTTTCGAACACCAAGTAATCGTCTTCAAAAGGAGGATCAATGTTCCACTCCATTCTTCGTCTCATATACTTATCACCTATTCAAGTGGTTTGATCATTATAGTTTAAATGTGTATCACTATGCTTCAGTATAATAGTTCCAGATCTTTTGACAAATTCAATAATTGTTAATTCAAGTTGTATGACCAATAAATATTATTTTATTTTATTGATTGACTTAATTCTTCCTATACAATTTCATTTGTCAATAATGGAAATAAAAACATTACTTAGAATTTTTCAGTAAGCAGACTACAAAATTAGTTGAACAAAATTTCTATTTCAAGAGGCCAACTATTTGTGTCTTCGAAAAGTTGAAAATTTATTGGTAGTCAAATGGTAGTCAGTCAACTGCTTGGTGGACTATATACTTTTTTGTAAAAAAGCTGAACATACCTCGGGGAAGATGAGGTGTTGGAAGAAAACCATTTTGAAGTGGATCAGGAGGCAGTTGTGCAACATTTCTCACACTTTTATCACCCCTATAATTATTAATCAGAGTGATAACATCTCGTCTTAAAAGAATTCTAGCAATGTATCGAAAACATTCAATGTTTTCTGGATGTAAACAATCTCGTTTTTCTAATAATCTTATAAGTTTTCGTATTGTGTTGCATCTTTCATATCTTCTTTCCGAATCAATTTTTTGGCGGAAATGTGATTTGAGCATCATCAGATTTTCAGTATTGAAATGAGTTGTTTCCAATTCCATACGGATAGTCTCATATTTGTTTTGGAGCTCCATAACTGATGGACTTTCTCATTATAAGTTACACTTTCCCTTGATTGAGTCAGTAATTTTTTTATTCACAATAGATTTTTTTTATTTCTCAGGTCACAAATGATGCAATCACCACCACTAACAATAAAATAGTCACTAATAATTAATTATATGAATTTATAATTTTTTTATTTTTAGCGACACTGACACAAAACAAACGCCAATGTCAAAGTTTGAGCATCCCAGTGATGTTTTTCGGGAACGAAAAATTGTGCCAATACAAAAATGAAAATTGTACTAAATTACGTTTAATTGTACTGCACTATGTAATATCATGGAACATCATAATAATATAAGTGTTCTGTGAATTTATGATCATAATATGAATATATGAATCATAATACAGGGGTGGGTGGAATTTTCATATCAAAACATATACATAACACTTTTTTCAAATCGTCCTTTTTCTTGCATAATTTATTTTTCACATGATCTGAAAATAAGGCATCCAGAACCAGTGCACAATCAAAAAATAAAATGGAGATATTGCACAAATTATGCCAGGCAAAAGTGAATGAAAGACAAAAACTATTAACAGTGTCAACAAAACATCATTTTATTATATTCATGGGTCATGGCCCATGGGGTCTGTTGTCGAGATTGTGCGTTTGACAAAGTATCGACAGAATGAAATACAGCGATATAAAATACGTATGCTGGACTGCGATACATCATCTGCATATTAATTCATAACTCGAGACTATTGTCTATCTGTCAAATGTCGAATAAAAGTTTTATTTTTTAGAAAAAGAAAGCAAAATTGTACTAAAATGGCGAAAGAGGTACTGCCGTACTGCATTTAGTTCGATTGTACTAGATTCAGTACAATTGTACTGCACGTAACATCACTGGAGCATCCTAAATCCTGAGCCACAGATGTAGTTCCGATCAAAGTGTACCCCAAGTGTTCAATATTCTGTGCCTAAGCATTGAAATCTCAAAGAGATGGTTCAAAATCACAGAACACATTATATATTGGTGTTCTGTGTCACAATGCAATGAAAATAATATAAAACTCAGAGTAATAATAAGACAAAAATTTGTTCCTGATTCACACAGAACACAAAATTTGTAATGAATACAGCAAATCGCAGATGCTCTAAACAAAATAAGTTTGAGATAAGTTTGAAATGAGTTTGGGAATGTCTCTAGACGAGATGTTCTCAAACTTATTACGTCTACTTTGAAAATCAAGTATTTTGTAGCGCCCCCAATTTTTATTCTCCTCAAAAACCATAATAAAAAATTAGTCTCGCCTGTAGTTTAATGAAACCTATTTTTTAAACGAGACTTTTCCTACCAGAGAGAGCAATAATAATACAACTTTACAATATTATAAGTATCTTTCATCCAAAATTAACAATAATCTACATTGAGCAATAATAATACAACTTTACAATATCAAGATTATCTGTTACCTATTCAAAATCAGCCAATAAATAATCAAGAATTGTTCTCTTTTTAGTTAGCAGCATTGCAACAGCACTACAAATGATGATGGAAATGCCATCATCAAACACAATCCAAGGTACAATTGCGGGATTGGCTTTTCTAACCACGTGTGACGTAATCGATGCAGAGAGAAATACATAAAAAAACATGGCGTCAATGTGTACAAAGTGTGGCAAAATACATCATTAGGAGAAACATCCTGACAGTTTAACGAGGCGGTTACGTTTTGACGTGCGATTCCTCAATGTGTGTCTCAAAATACATCATTAGTAAAAACAACATGGTGGCAATGTAACGGAGATTGAGTAAAGTATACAGGGTGCGTCAAAATATATCACTTGAGAAAAAATATAGCAGTTCGACAAGGCTGTATAGTTTCAACGTGCGATTCATCAATGTGTACAGGAAGTCTCAATATATAGATATCATTTAAGAAAAATATATGTCTGTTTCATGGGAGTGTAGCGTTTCAACGTACGATCCCAATGAGAAACGTGTTGTGGGGTTATCGTTCGAAAATAGAGAAAGCGAAGTATTCGACATCAATGACATTTCAAAATACGTTGAAATGTCATGTATGTATGCCTGTATGCATACATACATGCATACATGCATGCATTTATGTATGTATGTATGTTTGTGTGTAGGTACCACTAATACTTTTTTTACAATCAACTGCATATTCGCATTTGAGAGTTTCAGTTACTAAAGTTTGTGAGTCGCTTGTTGAGTATGGTTTCTTTTAATCTGATTGATCAATGTTTCTATTCAAGCGAGTTCATACATAATTTCAAACTGAATTTGATCATATTTGGAATTTAGACGACTCCAAATACAAGTTCAAGAACAAATTTTAAAAATATTTGATAGAGAAAACATTTAATTGCGTTTCTGATTTTTATGATTGACTTTTTTTTCAATTTCTACCCTGTTCCACACAGCGAAGTATTATGGAACAAAGCTGTTATTATTGATAGAAGTGGTGCAGAATTTTTTAACAATTGGATGGTGATATTCAACAAATGAGATATGCTGACAAAAATAAGATAATCCCTAGTTGAGGATCATACCAGACTATAATCGCCACTTAATGAAACCTTTTAATTAGAGCTCAATTTTCCACACACCATAATTGTACTCGATGCACGTTTCAGTAATCAAATTAGCATCTTATTAATTGATGTTTAATATCAATTTCACTTCTGAAGATGCTAACTTGGATAGTGAAAACGTACAACAAGTACAAAAATGTTTGGAGTTTAAGAAATTGGGCTCCATTCGAATGTTTCTTCTTTAACACCAAAATTTTCAGTCACATCTACGGCTCTTAATGTATGAATAGAGGAAAATTTCTGCGTGGGTTGCAACAAATCAAACGAGATGATGTTTTCCGTAAAGTGATCCTAACATTTTGTGCCAGTCAAATCTAATTCTGAAAACCCTTAGATATCACTTCTTATATTATTTGAAAGAATTACAAATAGCATCGTATCAATATATTATTCATTATGGTGAATAAAATAGCAACAATCAAATGAAGAAACTTATTTTATTAGATGAAGTCAATTGAAAACAAGTTCAATTTCAATTTATGACAAGATAACATTTCCAGTACGCCTCTGTTATAGACACGATGACGCAAGTCTGGCCCTGAGTCACAGAACACCTGTAGTTAGGGTGTTCTGTGCCTGAGTAATCCGTTTCATACTTTTTGAGATCAAAGGCGGCATCGTGTAGTGTGCGTGCTGATTGTTAGGTATGCTGTGGCTGAGTTTTGTCTTTCTGTTGCAGATATTCGAACAATTTGAAGAAATTCAAACATTTTATTACACAAAAATGCCGCTCTTCGCTGACTTGGTGCAGTTTATCTATCTCATCTCTTTTGAGTTTAATAACCACAAAGTTTGACAAAAAAAACTGCTCCGGATAGGATCAAACGCTTGAAACGATCGAAACAATGCTTGAAACGATCAAAACGGCTCATGAAACGATCGAAACAATGCTAAAAACGTTGAAAATGGCCCTTGAAATGAGCGAATTAGTGCTAGAAACGATCGAAACAACGCTTGGAACGATCGAAAAATCGCTTGAAACGATCGGAACAACGCTTAAAACGGCGAAAATGGCGCTTGAAACAGTCGGAATAGTGTTTGAAACGAATGAAACAACGCTTGAAAATTCTCAAACATATGTTTCCAATATTTATACTTCATACTCAACGACTGTCATGGCACAGTTGCCAGGGGATTACATTTCTTCATAGGAAAAAAGTCCATCTGTCGCTGGAGATTGGAAGTTGCTGGGGTTTTACTTCACTTACAGTCACTTGGGCTCAGTTGTAGGTACTTTGTGAGTGTTGATTTATGTCCCGAATAAGCTTGAAGTACAACCAATTTAAATTTCAACCACTGTGTGGAGCTTCTTGTCTTCCCGTACAACGTCGTTACTGTCCTTGTATTTTTTAAATTATTTTCCACTTTGTTCAACATTAAGTAACCTATATTTCCTTGTCTCGCTGTTTAAAATATTCGCATAACCCTGTATATTTTCCGTATTTCTCAACAGTTTTCGTTCATTTCGTCAACGTGTATAACGTTATTTTTCAATTATTTTCAACTTTGTCTCGCATTCAGTAACCTGTATTTTCATCACACTCCTTATGTCTGTATTTTTCTTTAAATTATTTATTCCAATAAACTCAAAAATCGTTAACTCAAAAGTCAAAATCTCATAATTTTTATTTTATTGAACAAAATAAAATTGGATTGAGCCAATTTGATGACAACATTTTTCTATTAGCTGACTCAAATGACACATTACTCTGGGATAATTATAGTATTATGGAAAATTCAAATATCACTTGAATGTCACATTTACTATTATAATGTAATTTTGAATGACTACCAAACATTTTGTGCGTGAAAATATTTTTCATTTGTTATAAATGTATTCATCGTTTAATTTATTATAGAATTCTTCTCGTGATATATAGTAACTCGTGTCGTTTGACTAACGCACTGTTTCAACAAAATGCTATGATCGATAGAATTCTGATTTGAAAATATCATAATTTTAATATGGGTTTGTAGTACCGAACGTTTCGTCTGCTACTGCGACAGATACGTAAAACACTAATATGATATTTATATAGCTGATGATGATTATATAGCTGAACACTTACTGCTATTATTGAAAAAATGTGATACTTGATGTCGTAAGTCATGTTTTGAATCTCGCCGTCGTTTAGTCTGGAGATTCAAACATATGATTAATGATGGAAAACTTCTGATAAATCGTTCAATTACAAAGTCACACAGAAATGACTCCACTTTGATAACTTCCGTTTCAAACTACATCAGCATTATTTCTACGAAATTTTGAAATGATTTTCATGAGTTATGAGGGTTTTGAGAACTTGGGCTTTTTCTTTCTCTGAGGAAATTTTGGAAGGATTTTGAAGAGTTATGAGGGGTTCCAGAAAAGATGTATTTCAAATATTGATTCACTCTGTATATATATGCGCTTATATTTCGTGGATTTTCAATACGATTTTCACCACACCATGAAAAAATTTACAACATGTGTGGGCTATTATTTCTCTAAACTGAAGCTCAGTTTTTAAATGTAATTACACGAAGTGATAAATTGACAAATCAACCGCAAACGTGTTATGATGTCGATATATGTATTTTGGGGTAATGATATTCTATGTCAAATGAATAGTCACGAATAAATTATTTGCTTTGTATTTCGAAGGCTTTGGAACCGTTTTCGAAGAGTGATCGATGGATACCAAATGAATTTCTTAATACCCGTTGATGATCTTGACCTCCCTCAATATTTATAAACATTCTAATGCAGAGGTTGCAACTTTGCTCCAGTCACCTTACTAAGACGAAATGCTCGATACGAATCCCCAATAAGCATATTTTGCAATCCTATCAATTTTGATGTCTATTAACTTGGAATAATAAAAGATTGAATTGTGAATACTGAGTGTTTTTGTTTTAGAATGTCGAAGTTGGGGTTGAAACATCTTTCAATCCATGTATTTGCTTGAACGTATTTGAATTATTTTATAACGATTTTCCATGTTTGACAGTATCGTTACTTTGATATGTTTATATGTCCAAGAATCCACCTCACTTATTTTTATAATGGAGTCGCCTAACAGCACACCTAAACAACCTTGAATACCTATCTCATACAATTGAAACTCAAATTATCTACAAATAATGGACTCGTCCGATATCTATAAAAATGATGTTATTTCAAATAGGAAATTTGAAAAAATTACAACACAAAATGGAAATGTCTGAGTATTGGTATTCCCACTCGAACTGCTATGGATTTCGACACAAAATTACTTGAACAATCCACCTTACCCCCCTCTTTTATATTGAACCCGTCACCACACCTAACGAACTTGACTTGTACAAATGAAACTCAGGTTATATACACACAAGAACTCATCCGGTATTTATATCAAAGGATGCTATTTTAAATGGGAATTTCGAAAAAACTAAAACACAAAATGAATTTCCGAATATCGTAATTGACATTAAATGTCTAATATCAATCATCTATATTAATTTCCTGAGTGAATTCAAGATATGAAATACAGCCTATTTTGAAACGACCTAACGAATCACCAGTCAACCTTTTTCAATAATGCATTTTGCTCAACTCATTTTGTTCACATTTGGGTTAGAGTTTTGAGATAAAATGTAGTAACAATTTAAATTGACAGACAAATACACTTTCTTTATTTCTAAAATGTCCTATGTAGGTATGTGTTGTTTTTTACCGACCTTGTATCTTTCAACATATGATGTTTATTCATCATTATAAACCCTCGAATAAAATGTTTTGTTATGGTATAACCACGCACATAAATGATATCAACATCATGTGTGGATTTTCTTTGAGGATACTATCCAGTAGATGATATTCCACGAAGCCTGAAGAATTCTTTAAACCATGAATATTTTTTTCCACATACATAACGCCTTTTCTGTAGTCTTTGCTCAAGAAGGAGACTGATTTCGGTTGTAGAAGCAGAAAATTGTTACATAAATTACCGATCTTAATGACAATCTCCTTGGGGTAGAATTGTTGCTCAACAACAAATTCCTGATTATCGACGACTTCTAGTCTCATAATGTGCAACTATAGACTGAAAAAATGGAAACTAGTGAGATTTGAAATTCGTTTTGGAAAGGTTGCAGATGGTTTTAGCTGTAGTTATTGAAATGACTCTGAACTGATACTGCACACCTTAATGTATTGTGGAAGCTGCAGAAATTTGAAACTTATTCTGAAAAATTTGTTAAGACGTTTGGATGCTGTTCTTGAAATGACTCTGAACTGATTCTGCACACGTTGATGTATTGTTCTAAAATAAATTCTATTTTCAATACAAACGTACACCAAATATATGTTTATCAACAGTGAGGGTAATGTCTTTCATGAAGTGATGGTGAAAAGTGAATGAGCTACACTTTAAATTAAAATAAAAAATCAACTGTCATTCATAACAAGGAATTCAAAACACATATTCTGCACATACTAAAGAAAGGAAAAATATTGTATAAAAACACTACTTTATGCGGATATTATTGTAATGATTCTGAAGCCGGCCCTGACCGATATCTCAGCGAGCAAACGCATGACTCATCGGGAATGCACAGGATAAGCCACCGCGAATAATCTAGGCCAGTGCCAAAATCCCTAGAGAGATCCGGAGCGTTCGTTGACGATATAAAAAGGCCGCTCTCCGTCCCGAGCAGTAGTCTGTACTTAGAAAGTGAATCGTGCGTTTAAAGGAAGAAATCTAACCGTGAAGATAAATTAAGTGTTAGTTGCTAAGTGTTGTACATAAATTAGTTGTGATAGTGAAATATTGTTAAAAATAAATTTGTTTGACAGTTTATTCTTTAATTCGTTACATTATCTATGAATGAGAATTGTATACAACCACAATCTCTTTGCATATTAAACGAAGAAAAAATGGGAAACGATACTAACCTTGATTTCGTACGATTTCAAATAAAACCACACGATTCGGTTTCCCAATGTCCATTAACCCTTTGAACAGAACAGCTTATTTTCCTGATAAAAATTCTTCCAAATGGGGGCGATACTTGATACTTCTCCGTTACTCGGTGAGGCAAAAATTACACTTTCAAACCTAAATCCAACAACACCGCCTCAACAAATTTGACTCTCACGATTTTGGCTGCCGATATCCTTAGCGGCGTCTCCACAGGCAAATCTGTTATTTTAATAATTGGCTTCCTCTCCACGATCGAACTTGCATTCAATTTTTGTAAATCAATCTGCGAATTACAAATTATACGAACACTATCTCAAACAAACGACTACAAGGAAAACATTTGACGGAAATCATCCAATATATATTGAAACAAATTTTGGAAACTAAATGATAATTCATCAACTCTCACCAACTTTGAATTAAATTTCATTTAAGTAAATCCATTGGAGAAAAAAGTCAAACTTAAAAACACTTACTTCCAAATATAATCAGTATACTTGTCACTGGTATCACTTTCAACTGATGCAACTAATTCATTCCACCACGTAGGACGCATTTTTAGTAAAATAAGTGTTTACATATTTTGAAATGAAACAAAAAAAAGTCTCTGTTTCGTCGTTTTACGAACTGCGCGTCTCCAGATATCGATTCAGCAAATCGGCACTGACATTGATCAATGTCACCTTAGGTATGGATAGAAAAATAGGTGATGACATATTCTAAAATGAAACAAAAAAACTAAAGAGTATTTGTTTCGTCGTTTTGATGCATATTGTCGGATGTAGATTCTGCATTGACATGGGTATGAATAGAGAGGATCAATAAACAACATATAACACATGAATTCTGATTTTTTCCCTTTATTTGATGTGCTACATGTGATAATGGGACTATTATTAGCGAAGATACAACTTAGTGGTCTCTTAGCATGGTCTCTGTTTCTTCTTTGTCCGTTAATTCTGCATTCGTTTCCCTTTTATTTGATGTGCTGCACATTTAGATCCAACTATCATTAACGAAGGTGTGGCTTAGTGCCCTTCTGACATACTGCGCCATCTTTGGTTTTCCTCTATCCATGAATTTTAACATTTCGTCCCTTTTCATTGTGCTGTCAAGATTAATCGGATCGTCACGTACAGCACGTCAAATGAAAGAGGAAGAAATGCAAACATTTTCGATAGAGAAAAAACAAAGATGGCGCAGAATGTTAGTCATAGTCAGACATATTGCGACATCTTTACTTTTTCTTTGTCGATGAAATCTACATTTCTTCTCCTTTCATTTGACGTGCTGTATGACGAGCCGAAGTTTTTTCAATGTTTTTTTTTTGAATTTGCAATCATTTGAAATGAGTACTCACATCGGTCTGTTGCGACCATCGACATAGAATAGAATAGAATAGTTTATTGGCTACGTGATACATTTGAACAAATATTTGTAGCAAGTCAAAACACAAAAATTTCTAAATATGACGTCATATATACAAATAAAACCATCACAATGCTTGTATAACAGAACAGTGTACATAATAATGAAAACAATCAATCAACTAATATTAAAAATGAGAACAATTGTTACTCACTCAAAATCACTTGAATTATCTATGTTGTATAACATGTATTCATCTGTAGAATAAAAACAGTGATTCAAAAAAAATGATTTGAGTTTTTGCTTGAAACAGTAGAAACTGAGTTGTTTTATGTGACATGGTAACTTATTATAGAATTTCAAATTCAATGAATTATTTTGTGAGGTGCTCAGTCTGAATCTCTCAGTTCTTATCAGATTTCCTGATCTTGTAGGATATTCATGTTGTTGCGATTGTAAAATGTATTTTGATTTATTTTTATGAATTTCAATCAATGTTTCATATACAAAAGCTGTAGGAAGCGGCATTATTTTGAGATGAATAAAAAGTGGGCGACAATGATCTTTAAAGTTGGCATTAGATATTAGACGTATGACTCTTTTTTGCAATATAAAATTTTTTTTGGAATGACAAGAATCCCCCCACAACACTATGCCATATACCATGTGACTATGGAAGAGTCCGAAGTACGAAGATTTGACCGTTCTTATACCGGCCAAATCCTTCAGTCTACGAATCATAAATATTGCACTTGATAATTTCTTGGCCAGTTTGTCAACATGACATGACCAGTTCAATCTGTCGTCTATATGAACCCCCAGAAGCTTAACACTTTTACCCGAGGTTAAATACTTATTTGTGGAAATTATAAGATTTTGATTTTTAGCCTCATTAAGGAGAAGTCTATTTGAAACAAATCAGTTACTTGCAGACTTCATGGTGGCGTTGGCAAAAACACTCAAATCATTAACACTACCGTGACAGTCCACCAAAGTAGTATCATCCGCAAAAAGAAAACATTTTTTAGGAAGTATGTGGTAGTATAGGTCATTTATATATAATATAAACAAGATTGGTCCCAGTATAGAACCCTGGGGCACACCGTGTTTGACAGATTTCACATTCGATTTAATCCCATGTAATGATACACACTGTGATCTATTGTGCAAATAGGATTCAAAGAATTTAAGGGACAGTCCGCGGATACCATAATAGGAAAGTTTCTTAAGCAGAATATCATGCGAAACACAATCAAATGCCTTCGATAGATCGCACAACGTTATGAATGAATGTTTGCTTTCCTCAAAACCTATCACTATACTGGATATGATATTCAAAAGAGCATCGGTTGTGGACTTACCGTTTCTATACGCAAATTGTCCAGGGCAGAAAAGAAAATTAGCTTCTAAGTATGCTATTAATCTGCTTTTGACAATTACCTCGATAACTTTTCCAAGCATAGGTATCATTGAAATAGGTCTAAAGTTGTCGATAATATGAGGGTCTCCTTTTTAAAAAAGAGGTAGGACTACAGATTTTTTTAATATTGCAGGAAAAACCCCATGAGAAAAACACTCATTTATTAATAGGGATAATGGGTACGCAATCATATTGGCAATACTTTTGATGATTCTACTATTAAGCTCAAAATAGTCCGAACAATTGGAGTTCTTGAGAGACTGGATACTTTCCATTACTTCCCTCGGGGTCGTGGGGAACAATACGTAGGAGTTAACTGGTGTTTTAAGATTCATAATTTACTTCAGAAAGAGATGAAATGAGATAATCGACAATGTCAACAAAATAATCATCATAACCTTAATCTAGACTGCTAATTCCGTATAACAAAACTTCATCCATTTACGAGATTTCAGTGGGCCTTTAGGGCATGCGCAATGAAGTTTCATGACGTTTCCAAATCACATGGGCGTATCGCAGGAAAGGGGGATCTTCTAGGGATATCAAGTGAAATACTTGGTTTTTATACTTATGTTCATAGAGAAAACTGCGAAACAAAAATAAACATTTGTATTGTAATAGGGACTCTGTATGACTCTTCCTAATATCTATGGGTGAGTAGTAATAATATTAATACCAAGCAAAGCTCGGTCACCCAGGTACTCATAACATAAACATAAGTATGTTGTATGTTGTTTAGGAGTGATTAATTTTTGGGAAAGAAAGGTTTTGACTTTCTCTCCATCTTGATACAAAAAAATGTGGGAATCTTCCAAAGAAAGGAAGGAAGCAATCAATTTTGAAAAAAGTAACTCTATACAAAGATGTGTAGACTATGCAAAGAAGTAACTTTCAGACACAAACTGGAAGAAAAAGTCTTCCTGAAACAGCCACTTTCACATAAACATTGAATTACACGAAAGAAAAAATTCTTTCAAAACAAATACTTCTATATGAACACTGAATTATACAACTCAGTTTGTATTCCAATTAGATTGTGATGTAACATCAGTAGAAACAATACTAAAATAATAAGTGCAAACCAATGATAATGATACATATAACTAGATTCGAACAATTGAATATGGATTTGATTTTGTTTCATGAAAAAGAGAAGCAAGTGTTCCAGACTACAATACAATATTCCAATGAGTCATATAGACACAGTTCTCAGCAATTCACATAGTAAATGTAACTAAATATTATAACTTATTTTAGTGGAAAATACTCTATGCAATTTGTCAGGAAATTGCACTGTTGTTCTCAATATAGTATAAAAACAACATCATGTTCCAATTTTCATTGATTTCGAAACAATATTAGTTTGGAAAATTGTTTTCTGATCACGGTACCCCTTTCAATTTCTGTTTGTTTCTATGAAACTTCATGAAATCTTAATTTGGTGTAAACTTGTATTATGAGCTTGATAAGAATTGATTTATGGTTTTCTGAAAAAGTGACAGAACCTTGATAGCGATCATCCAGATCTGAAGACACATCCTTTTTGAAACGCATACATGTCAAGTAACATTGAAAATTGAATTTCTGGAAAAAATGTTTGTGATTTGGTAATTTATTATTATTGGTACAAATATTTTGATCTGTAATTCTACAAAACGTATAACTGAAACAACATCATCGGATGGTTTGATCAATCCACCCCTGTTTTTCCTACTTATCAATAACTGTGTAAAATATATACAATCATCATTTGTAGTATTCACAACAACTTCTACTGCTAATAAACATTCTGCACATTTAATGACAGTTTTGATTTTTTTTGCTTACAAAACCAGCTACGTAAACCAAGGATGCAAATTCTTGGCCATAATCGTGATCATCTATTACTTCTTCATACTTCTTTATGGAACCTAGCTCATCAATAGACACCTCTCTCCATTTTGGTTTAGATATACTTTAGAGTGTTAAAATTGAAGTGGTGTCTAGACTCAAACAATTTCCTCCATCTTGTTAATGTCATGGTATAACATTAATCTCTTGAAAGTATTATTAAACTGATATGGCGTAGGGTTGTTATTAGAACCATTTCGAGATCTGGTAATGCTGGAGTGCCATCTTTAAAAATTTAAAATAATCAATAAGCAGCAATTATAAATGTATTTCCGTATATGTATATTTTATTCACCAATTTTATAAAAAAAACTTACCTCATTAACAACTGTGACTGTGGTTTCAGTATTACATGTGGTTAGTATTACATGTGGTTTCAATGTTCTGAGCCTTCCACGTAGAGGTATAAAACTATCGGGAGTAAAGTGTTCAGAACATATTCTCCTTGAAGAATGTGGAAGGGTGGGATGGTTTTTTGATGACTTCTAACCATTCACTGTATCTATCTTCAGGAATCCTAGAATAATGCAATAAAATTACACTCAAATATAATTTCATTTGTTCTATAGCCTTGCCAGAGCACAAATTATTAGTGAGTTCCTTTTTAGCATTATAAATCTTCTTTTCAATTCTAAGTACTACACTTATTTCTGTACTTATATTATTATGCGGAATTTAAGTTTTCCCATTCTATGAATCCTCATTGGGTTAGTAAACATCTACAATTGCTTTTTAGAAATAATGGTAACTTTCAAACTAGTACTAGCTACGTGAATCCAAAGTTGTAACTATTGTGAATAATTCAAGGGACTTTAACCTATAAATTGTGAAATAATTATTATTGTATTGGATATTAATGTTTTTAGAATTATAACTGACTTACTTATGGAATGTAACACCTTTTGGGTGATTCAACGAAGAATTCCTACACCAAAGTACAAAACACCTCATTTTTTCACGAATAACTATCAAGCCGACGACGCCTATGAACAAAATGGTTGAAGCCTTGTGTCAACGTCTGAAATGACAACCTTTGAGCCTTCTGTGCATTGCGCACACACGTTTTCATAAATTCAATGAGCCTTTTTCCTGAGAATAGTACAGCGAACGTGTCACGAGAGGCGGCAGCACTAGTAGTAGGGACAAACATAAACTATTCATATCGCACTAGTATTTCTAAAGGGACACAACTCAAAAATCAATATGAAAAAAATCGATAAATATTTCTTTATCGATCATATAAACTGTATCAAGTTGATACAGTATCATCTGAACTATATCAAGTTGATACAGTTTGGATGTTAATACAACTTGATACAGTTAATACAACTTGATACAGAAATATTTTCCAATTTTTTCATAGTCTCAACTCAAATATACTGATTTTTGAGTTGTGGCATTTTAGAAATACTAGTGCGATATGTTAAACAGTGTTATTTACGTAATATTAATTCATTATTTAAAAATATAAATCTGATACATAAAATTATTTTGTGCTTGTATAATGCCAACAAAGCATTGCTGTTTTGCGAATTGTATATACGTCGGATAATCGATATCCGGAAGAAAACGTGTTTTTATACCATTTATAAAACCTCATATTAATGAGGTTAGATGTAAAAAATGGATACATACTTCGAGGAGAGTGGATTTAACAGTGCAGAAAATTATTAAATATTCATATGTATGCTCTAAATATGAAATGAATAGTAAATTTTTCATAGTTAATTATTTATCATTGATTAGAATGAGATATAACCTCAATCTTTTATTAAATCATATTCATTTATTATATTAAATTGAATTTATTTCATTACCATCTATATTTAATTCATATTCCACTCGGAAATAAATCTGAAATTCATAATTATTTTTAGTTTCATTTGTTACAGTTTGAATCTACCGCTACTCTTTTATTAGAGTCTGTATACTAACCTGTCTATTAATTCACTTTTTTTCAGTTACTTTTCAATTACGGCATGCAAGCCAACGTTTTAATGTTACAACATTGTTATCCTTTGCAGTTGCAAATTTTAGTTTTGGTCCAAGAACATCTTCTCCTGGAATCTTTTAATTTTAATTTTTTCATTTTCATTTTTGTTAATAATATTTTTTAATTTTCAGCTTTTATTAATATTTCAATTTTTCATTTTCTGGTTGTAGCTTGTATGTTATTTCCTTGTAATTTCAGTTTTTTGTTTTAA